AATATCTCTATCTCACAATGTAAGAGAATCTTTTAAAATTTACCTGTATCCAGATTAGGCTCTGGATCATCACCAACATTTAATGGATTGTTCCTTGGCATGAGAGACACAACTGATAAAAAATTCATTAAAATCCATTCATAACTTTTAAGTCATTTAAAAAAAAACAGACAAACCACCGCCTCCACCAAAGATATATAATCTTTGGTGGACATAAGTAAGCAATACATAAATTGCTTATTTACGTCCACGTAAATAAGCAAGAGATGAGAAAGGCATTATCAGTCAATCAGTAAAGAATGTCAAATCCATTTGGCATTCTAGAAAGCCACAATGAGATTTTTTTATGCAATAGAAAAACATGACAAAGTGGCAAACCTTCCCAAAGGTGACACACCCACCATAATTAATCCCGGTCACAATAGAACCTAGAACATCTAAAGCACTACTAACCTCATTTGACTATACTAAAGTCACTTTGAGCATTCAGCAATAAGAAAGTATCAAGGCTGCAACCAGTGTTAAGCATCAGAGTGAAGACTGAGAAATCCAGCATCATAAGGATGCACAAAAGTTTTTGGAAAATATTAACAAAAGACATTTTTGAAATGTGTTTAACTCATTACATCTGGTGTTTAACTTAAAAAGTTAAACACCAGATGTAAAAGTAGAAAAAGAAAAGCACTTTACAGTCACTCAAACACTGATGATCTTGGGCCACTATGGGACATGGAGAAGTTGTGGTCATTGATAGAACCATGATTTCTCTCCCTACCAGAAAATTTTAAAGGAGAATAGTCATCAATTTGCGACTTTAAGGTCTAATGCATGCAACATAAATAAATGACAGAAGATTACCTAATTAGAGTACAGCCCCTGAGACTGGTATGTGATTTTATGAAGTTAAATAGGCTGTTCATGGTGCAAAACCATCCAGTAGTACTAATATAAAACAACTCTTAAAAAGAGAGTGGGACAACATTCCTTTACAAAGTGATTTAAAATATTATAGATGCTAATAACTATTAGCAAAATGTTTGATAGCAACCTGCAGCCAACTACAGTATTTAGGGCAGGGGTGTCAAAGTTATTTTTATACTAGGCCACTCAGTCATCATCACATCATGAAAAGAGCCAGCTGCACAAATAAAACCTTTGATTTCATAAATTCCTTTACAAATAGCACACTACTCTGGTATTATAACTTTATTTTGCAGTTTTTACTGCTTTGTACACTTTAGAAGAATATGTTTTTTTACTTTGTGGCATGATATGTCTTTTTTGGCTCTATGGGGTGCGACAAATTGCACTAGGGCGTGTGAGCAGGGGTACATAGAAGAAATCTGTACTGAAGAAAATTCTTTTGGATGGCATTTATTGTTAATACCCAACATCCAATGGCGGAAATTTTTTTGTTTACACATACAGTAATAAAATGCTTTTCAGCTAATTTTTAAATCTTGCGATCTAGACTTAGCGTGACAATTTTACAAGAACTCTGATTTCATCTCAAATAAACAACAGTCCTTCTGCCGCTAGATTCACTGTTGTGGTCTTTTAAAGCCAAGTAAGAGATTTTCACTTGGATTAGCCTATGTCTCAAGCCAGGATTTTTTATGATTAACTATTTCATTGATATGAAGTCTCAGATGGTAGGTGTTTAACCTTTCTAACTGGTGCATAGAATGAACAGGAGCTGACACACTATTAATGTATGTTAAAAAAAGTGGCGATGTCTGAAATATTATACTGCTTAATGACAGTATTAAGTTTTACTTTATAACCATTTTGGATGCTCAATGTTTATAAAAAGCTGAAAGGCTGGGGCCACCGCCTGCTTGGGACTGAATGGACGAGTGGACTCGCTTCAGCACCAGCCAGGCCCATCTGCTTGTCACCTGGCCCTGGCATGCAGGAGACCGGGTAATGACAGGGAAAGAATGGCATCAGTAGGCAGGAGCAGAGCAGTAATTACAGACTGGAATCCATGCAGAAACGACACATCTGGATCCACAAGTCAAAAATGTGGTGAATTATACTCCGATACCAGCCTCACTTCATGATTTCTATCCGTCAGAAGTGCAATATCGGTCTGAAGACTTAAAATCCTTGACTCTGTATCCCACTTTCTCTGATCTTGATGCTCTCCTGCTTGGAGGCAGAGACAAAATTCAGTCACACTTCAGGCAATAAAAAAAAAAAAACTAGGGACGCTGCTGATATGGCAGGCCAATCTGGGTGGAAGATCAGCCATGGCAGCGCTATATAGCGACTCATGCGTTACTTCTTACTCCATCACAGCTCACACATTTCTCTTAAACCCTATTACCACTGATCAATGCTGCCTTTTTCACAGCTGCAGAGAAATGATCTGCTTGAAAGTAATATTTCCTCAGCATATTTTAAGGGTGAAGCTTGCACAGTTCTTTATTCTGAGATTTTTTGCACTGGTGGATATGAAGATGACCTGTAATGACATGGTAATGAAAGCTTGCATTGCCTTATAATTAACATTTAACCCCCTCCAAAATATGTTGAATTCCCATTAAAGGACTATTCTCCTCGATGAGAAATAGACTGACCAAGGAAGTTAATGAAATCTCGCAGTCGGTCTTCGAGCATCAGCCGTCGCCAAATGACCCTCCTTTAATCTCTAGACGAGGTGACTCTGTTTGGGAGCCTCAGGGAGTTGAGACGTGTGCCACATTCTGACCGAGCTTTCAGTCCCGCATCGAGGATCGCCTTCAAAACTCAGTCTGCTAAGAGGAAAGAGACCCCCGCTGTGTGGAGTCTGAGGTCCTTTCTCCCCCTCCCCCTACCTCACTGCTTCAAATTAAGATTTTAGTAATTAAATTGATAAAAGTCATGCACGCCTATATGCCTCTTGGTTCCAGACCTGATTTCTGTCGCCACACAGAAGTGGAAAGCCGTAGAAGTTCTACCTTTGATGTAGCATTCTTTATTATTGAAAATAATTGGATTCTCCCTCCTCCATCCCTCTCCTCTCTCCCTGTACCTCTCTTTTACACACACACATACATTTTCCCTATATTCATTCCAGCTGAGCTCAATTATTGACCTTATATGAAGCAGTCCCCATTTTTCCTGAGATTACAACTTAAGTGTTGTGCTTAGGTTTTTCAGCAGAGGCCTGAGTAGCCAAGGCAATGAGATGTCAACACAGGTCAGGGGTCACTCTGCAGTTTAGAGTGGCCCCTGCTGGGCCTCCATCGCTTTAACTTTCATATCAGCCTGGCCGAGCGATCAAAAATAGTCTCTTTGGCCCTCAGGCAGCTGGCTTCCCTCCACACTCAGCAGAACAGGCGATAATCAGCAGAAAGAGACCCCTGATGATTGCTATGGCTCTGCCTAAGACGGCTGCTAACTGCTTGCCTGCTCACTTCCTCAGGATGTCAAACTAATACTCACATCTGAGACAACCCTCCCTCCCACCCCCTTCACCGTTAGCCTGCAGAAAAGCCTGCGCTGTCCATCCATCTTAGCTCGCTTTGTACCGCTGGCAAATGTGAATTTAATTGCCCCTGGAAGAGACTGAAGGGATTTTTGATTTCCCTCTTTATGTCATCCTCTATCAACAACAGGCAGATGTTACAAATGCCGGCTAGTTCATTACCGTCTGTCCTGTGAGCTTATCCCTATTCTAAGGAAGGTGCTACACAGGTAAAGAAGTATGACGATCTGAGGCAGGGCTGCCGTCAGGCTCAATAATGTATTTGACACCTGGCTGGTGAGACGACGAAAGGAAGAGAACAATTGCTACCCTATTCTAGTGAAATTATTCAAGTCAGTCTGGGCTTTCCGTCGATCAGGTCAGCTCCTTTTAGACCTCTATCTGACAACTACAGTTCAGCTGAGTAGGCATAGGAGACTTTAGTTATTTTCTAGATGCAACTGAGGACTGGAAAGAGAATAAAGCATCCTGCAGGTGTTGTTTATGAATAAAACGAAATTGCAAATCCTTAAAATGGAAAAATTTAAAATTCATCTTTTTATTACGTTCATCAGGTTAGGCTCTATTGAGTTTGGTCTTGGTACCTTGGAATAATATTTTTTGCTTTTAACGTTTTTTCTTTTTTCAAAGATGGGTCTACTAATAAGAGGAAATCTGAAGGCAATTGCCTGCAATTGATTTTGACTATCAAATTACCAGATGCTTTCTTAATTAACACTTTAGGTCAGCCTTCCACACAATAGCTCAACTAAATACAATGAAGTTTGAAGCTGTAAGTTAAAATGTAACAAGATTCCTGTGGGATCTACGGCTTTGCAAGGCACTGTATATAGAAACTTCCTATAACATTAGGTAATTCAAATTTAAAGATTTAATAAGTACCTATTAGAGTTTTTTTCTACTTAATTTAATGCATCCATGGAATGTTGAAAAAAATGTGTAAAACTTTCTTCTGGGATTAATGGACAAAAAAAAAATCTATATAATTAGGAAACCTTTTAGATTCTATTGGGTGTAATATTGTCTGAATTTCTAAAATACTTAACATGTACAGCTTTGTTTAAGGGAATAATTGGACCTTTGACTCTGTAATAACACTCTTTTGATGAGTTGTTAAAGATGTGTTGGTTGGGCCCATTACAAGGCCCATCTCCACATTTGTTTGGAGGCGTTTACAGTTCACTGCAGGCTATTGTGCTAGATGTGTTGCTACATGCTGAAACTATCAACCAGTAATTACTTCGGCTTATGCAACAATTATTCAGACCAGGCTCTGGTATTCACTGGAGAGGACTATCTATACTGAAGTCAGCCAACAGTGGTTGTAGCCAACACTGAAGTATATAACAACTTATTAACTCTTCTAAGCACATAAGCCTTTTCAGTATTCTGTAGCTTAAGTGGGCTCAGCTTTGGCTGCTCCCTACTATTATGACGGGGCTTTTTGTGACTCTGGCCTCTTTCTTCAATGCAATTTTCAGAGATTATGGGAACAAATTAAAGCTCTTTCTTTGCCTCTTTTGTGCAGGTATATCCAAGGTGCATCGTCTCCAAAGGACATGGTCATCATTGTAGATGTGTAAGTATTTCACTTTTCTTTCACCTTGTCCCCAGCTCCAGTAGAGATTAGAATTTGCCTTCAAAGGACACCAGTGCCACCTGTTGGTCTGAGGGGAAGCTAAGGCTATAAGATGAAAATTGCTTCTTATCCTTTAACCTTTGAGCTTTACATCCTGATTTTACAGCTCAGGTGATTCATAAAGGAGTAGAGAAATGTGACATTGGACATTTTAAAATGAGAGGGAGGACATAAACCCTTAGTAATATGAAGTTGTGTGAGAATTCTGATGAGAATGTTTGTGTATTTTTCTAATATTCAAGCTTAGAGCATTTAACATAATAGTATATTTATTTTATATGAATAAGCACTGAGTATTAGATATTATAAGCTTTAATAGTCTGCAATATTTCTTAAAGGACTGAATGTTTACTTTCATAACAGAGCAACTAGTTATTGATTTCTGAATTATAATAATGAATGAAAAAGGTATATAGAAATACTATGTTATTTTCTTTTTTAATTACTTTTACTAAAGATTTATAATTTTTGTTTGCTTATTTTCTTTTATTTCATAGCTATTATTTTGGTACAATTATGTTTTTGTTATATGGTTGTGAGTTGTGTTCATGAAGGATCACAATAAAAATCATACCTTAGTTTTCAGTTTTTGGTGTGACTTGGTTATAATATTTCACTGGAAGTCAAAATGCTGCTGTCATTGTTTTTTCTAAATACATAATCTAAATCATTTAAAAATAATGCATAGAACAGATCATTGCAAAAAGAACATTTTGGGAAGTAAGAAATATTATAATATCAAATAAGAAAAAAAATTGTATGTGTTTTTTGATGTCAGTTATATATGTTTGATGGACCTTGTTTTTACATGAAAAAAGTAAGTCTGTTGCTTAAATTATTCAAGATTTGTCAGCTTTCATAAAGAAATAAAATCATAAGTTGAAATTTTCATATGAGCAGTTGCTCTGCTCTTTGTTAAACTTCTCAAGGGAGATTTAGAGGATCTTCCCCTCCCTTATGCTCCCGATATTACATTACTAGCTATCAGGTTAAGGGTCATTTACAGTAGTGTTAAGCGCTTTGGAGTCCCCTGACTTGAAAAATAAGCACAGGTCAGTTAGCATTAATCATTTAAATGTAATTTTACCTAGAGTTTTTAATTATATTTTGTATTTCTTGTATCACTATAAAGTTATTAAAAGAAAAATAGAAACTGGATCATGGGGGACTATGATGCAAAGGCTAGATAAATTATACCTTAAATCCTAGAAAAAAAAATATATGAATGTCTGCTTATTTCTGAAAACCAGTGTTCTTTTGTTGTTTGCAGGAGCGGCAGTGTCAGCGGACTTACTCTGAAGCTCATGAAAACCTCTGTCATGGAGATGCTTGACACACTATCAGATGATGACTATGTCAACGTAGCAAAGGTATGTCGAAGCTCTATTATTATTTGTAGATATTAATATAACCTACTGCTTAAAGTGATTTTGCTGCTAATATTTAAAGGGGTGATTTTTTTTATTTGGCCGTTATTCTAATTAACCTGAGAGTCATTAGGTGCAGCAGTTGTCTCATTCTGTCCCCAAATGTTTTCTTGCTGTTGAAACCCAATCTTTCCTCTGTTTGTTTTTTCTCGCATTGCCTAATGACCATGCATCTGTCTCCTCTACTCTCTGCTGATCACCAACTTTTCATTGACTAAAACTAATATGTGTGGGAATATTATTGTTGTTCTATTCTGCAGGGCAGAGACCACAAAAAAACTTTCTTCCTTACTTTCCACAGTGTATACACCGACCCACCCACACACATAAACATACATCCACACACAGCTGTTTGGCGTGGTGTTTCTGTTTGTCGACTCTCTTCGGTAATCCTTCATAATCCATTGCTTTTAGCCACTGTATGGCCCTAAATCCCAGCTCCAAGAGCAAGAAATGAGCATGCTAATCTGGGTGGGAACGCATCTGATTTTCTCCACTGCAAAGAAAGTGAGGGCATACATTAGCCCGCTGCAAACAGCTTGCACTACCTAAACACATTCATAACATGCAGAATGGCCCAAAAAATGTCACAAAATTATATCTTCTGGTCTGCATACATCAGGAGATTACTGTACATTGATTATATTATAATTTTTATCAGAAAGGACATACTTCAGAAAAAAACACAGTTACAGCAATAGTTATCACATGCACAGTCTGCTAAATATACTGTATATAAAGAAATGTATATTACGTCTTTTGTTTCTTTTATATGCTACTTATTTATGTCCTTCAACTCCCTTCCTTTTGTTTCTTCCTTCCTTGCAACATACGTCTCTTCCTTCAGTCCTTTCTCTGTAAAATCACAATTGGCCAAAAATTGCTCACACTGTAACTAATTATATGAGCAGTTTATTTAAAACACATGATCAAATCAACTGTCCATGCACATTTTGATTGTTTTACACATGCAAATTTAATACCACACATCCCTGAATATATCATAGCTACGAGTGTGTGTTGGTGTTTAATACACCTGCAGCTTCTCTCCTCCTGTGTGGACCTGTTTCTGTGCACTCATCTCAACCTTCGTCACTTTAAGGGTAGAACAACTAGAGAAAGTAAACTACCTTTATAGACTGCTTTTTAGAAAATCTTTAAGATGTTTTAAGACATTATTGTTTTCTCCCAAGGTGCACCTATTAAAGTAAGCAAAGCATCATCGGGCTAATCGCTAATAGCACAGAGAAGAAGTATGCAGTAATGTTTGTGATATATTTGGGGGGCCCATGTTGAATCTGCACCCATAAAACATTCAAAATGTGCGTGGAGAGTAGATTGCATGCCTTTGTGTTAAACCAAACTGCTCATATGAGTATTTATAATGCATGTGGTCTTTTGGGGGAGTCCTAACTTCATATTCCATTGCTTAATTTTCTCCTCCATTTTTTTTTTTTGTCCTGCTTCAGGGCCTATCTTCCTTTCTTTTTCCATCTTTACTTTTCCATTCTCTCTTCCAGCTGCCCAGCTTCCATCCTTGAGTCCTTTCTTCCTTTGGGACTATTTCCTGGTATCCTACCTCCCATAATTATTTTCTCTTTTATTCCTTCTGTTCCCTCTCATGTCCTTTCACCCTTTCTTCTGTGCTTTCTGCAATTTTACTTTTTCTTTCCTTCCCTGTGCCTTTATTTTGTTATTTCCTGGTATCCTCCTTCCATATGGCTATGTGTCCTATCATCCTTCCTTTCGATTATCTTCCCCACCTTGTGTCTTTTCTTCCTTTTGTGCTTTGCCTTTTCCTTGTCTCCTCTCTTTTTCTCTGCCTACCCCTCATGTCCTACTTTATTCCAGCCTCCTTCTTGCCTCCTACCTGTTTCTTCTATGTGGTTTCATCCTTACTGTAACTTCCTTTTTTTCTTTCCTACCATCTCTTTATTTCATGTTTCCTTATTTCATCTCTCTATCATTTCAATACCCCTCTTTTATTTCCTTGCCTCCTCGCTTCTTCCTTTAGACTTTTTAAATGACAAAATATGTAATATCTCATACTCATCATCCTTTTATTCAGGAACTCTGTTTTTGTTTTTTATATTATACAACAGGACAGCATAATGATATTTGACTCAGTTTTATTACCATTTGATTTCTTCGCCTCTTTAAATATGTGACAACAACAGCTCCCATGAGAAATGTCAGCGTTTCTCACACACAGTGTTTTACATCAATCCATGTTGAAAATGTCAGTGGAATCTGAATCTGACCTTCAAGAAACATTTGAAACACCCACTTTCAGAGTCACCACTAATGTTGCAATCATGCATATACACTGTGTGCAGACATATTAACCGATGCCCCCCCTCCAACCACCTCCACCACCACCACCACCACACACACACAGAGGAACATAAACTCAGTTTTAGGCTAATTTGGTGGATGAGATGAGACAGATGATATTACCTTGGCAGGGTTTCTGTTCGGCGGGCTGCACAAGCGTTTCAGGTGCACCTGTTCTTTGTGGGGAAAAGTTGTAATTATCGGTGTTTACTGCCAGCAGGAGACTGGCAGGGCAGCTTGCATCTGCACACACCCATGTCTGTATCGTGCCTCCATGAACTGCACACACCAGACAGATAACACAAAGATACTCGGTTGGACACAATGTTATTTTGGCAAACTTCTCAGTGTTCTTCTCTTGTAAAGCTAAACTGCACCCATGTTTTTTTTGTTTGTTTGTTTTTGTCTATTTTTCTGTTTTCCAGTTTAACGAAAAGGCAGAGGCTGTTGTCCCGTGTTTCAGGACTTTGGTCCAAGCCAACGTTCGCAACAAGAAGATCTTCAAGGAAGCTGTCATGCATATGCAGGCCAAAGGAACCACAGATTACAAATCTGGCTTTACGTTTGCCTTTGAGCAGCTTCTCAATGTAAGAGCTAACAAGCTTTTCTAGAGGAGGCAGCAGTGTTTTTCTGTGGCTGATGGTTCTGTCTAATCCAATTAATCAAACTGAGTTTATCGTGATAACACAAGGCTGACAGTGAGCCAGATTTGCATTAGACATTTCCAGAAGGCTGTCATTTCTGAAGGCAGGCTTGATTATGGCTGCCATTGCAGTAGAGTGAGGCTAGTCCTTTGCGGCAGCCAACACAAAATGAGGTCTCTCAGCAGCACACCGTCCACGTGCTCCCGGCACAGGTGCTGCCTCAGCTCCGAATGCTGCTGCGCATTTTTTGAGGCTGCCACGCTAATGGGCTCTGATGGGATGATTGATGAGCATAGCCAACAGTAGAGCAGCCATAGACACTTCATATTCCTCTGGTGTGTTTTAGGAGGCGCAGAGCCAAGAGTCTTCCCTTTTTTTTTTTTTGAGGAAGGAGAAATGAAAAGGAGGGGGTTCTTAATCGTTGTCTGATGCAGCTTTGCAGAATGATTGGTGGCAGAAGCACTAAAAAAGAATGTTATCGCAGCAATATTATTTATCTTTATTAGAATCTTGTCAGATTGGCCTAAATATCAGCAACAGCTGTTGTGTTGTTTGGGGGGGGGAGCCATATTTAATGATTGGATAATGTTGTATACCGGAGATTTAATCCTAACTTTATGCCTCAAAGAGGAAGACTATGTCTCTAAAAAAAGAGAGATTATTCTAAACAGGATGCACTTCTGAAAAAACGAAGATTTACAACATGATTATATAGATCTTATAAGAAAATTAAAATAATTTAAAATGCATGAATTATGTTTGATGAAGGATTAATAGAATGAAGGGTACAGGTTTTAGGTAAGATGCATTAGTTGCTACTTACAAAAGTATACACAGGCATAAATTTTCTTACATTTGTTACATCCTGAACATTTTAATAAATAATAGTGATAACATAACTACATTAAAGTGGAAGAAAATTAATTTTAAAATAATTTAAAAGGAAAAATGTTATTTGCATGCACTCTGTCTCCCTTTTATCAGTAGTTTGTAGAATCAGTTCTTTTAGGTCACCATTAAACATGAGCTTCAATATCCTAAAACTTTCCATTGTGTGTCTTCTCTGCATTATTAGATGAACTGTCCTGTGGAAATCTAACACTTCATGACAGTCAGTTTTTAGTGTTTATTTTTAAATTTGCACACATGTTGAATGTTTACTTATTAAGTTACTTTTGGGGTAGTTTATTAACCTGGAAAGAAAGATTGATCATGTAAATCAGTCTGGGCCTGCTCCCATTGAATCTGTTAGGGGGAAAAGGGACAATATAATATTTATGATAAATTTTATTTGTAATGCACTTTACATTTAAGAAAAATCTAAAAGTTCTACAGATAAAATCCAAAAGGTAAAAGCAAAAAATGAAAAACTAATCATCTTTGTAAAGTATATGAATAAATAAGTCGTTGGCATAATTATAAAAGGTTAAGAGTCGTAAGTTCAGCTAAAAAGAAATGTTTTTTATCGTTTTATAAAAGTCTGGATAGTCTGTGGTTCCCTCAGATGATCAGGGAGGGCATTCCAGGTCAGAGGAGCAGCAGAGCAGAAGGCACGATCGCCCATGTTGCTTAGCTTAGTCTTTGAGACTAGGAGGTGGTTTGAGTGTCTTGAGCGGCAGGATTGTGTTCTAGTGAGAGGGTTCAGCAGTTCCTTCTGGTATGGAGGAGCATTTCCATAGATGCACAGGTGGGTGAGAATTGAGACCTTGTATTAAATCCTTGCAGAAACAGGAGGCAGGTGAAGTGAGTGGAGAATGGGTATGATGTGGTCCTACTTTCAGACTCTCATCAGGATCCTTGCTGTTCTTCACATACTGTAGTTTCTGTCGACTTGTTAGGGATCCCGATGAGAAGAATGTTACAGTAGTTTAGACTGGAGGAAACAAAGGCATGAACCAGTTTTTCTACATCAGCCAAGGTGAGTGTAGAACTGAGTTTTGAAATATTTCTTAGATGATAGAAGGAGATTGTGTGCAGAGGTGTTTTATATGGACTTAAAGGTGAGTTGTGGATCAAATATTACACCAAGATTGATGTGCCAAAAAGGATTGCCTCTGTTTTGGAGTGGTTCAACTAGAGAACATTTTTTCGTCCACATCTTTATATCCTCCAGACAGGCTGTGAGTTTTGAAGATGATGATGCTATTTTTGAAGCTGCAGTGGGATGAGACTCAGATTTTATGTAAAGTTGTGTATCATCAGCATACAAGTGAAATGAGACTCCATGGTGGCTGATAACATGACTGAGGGGGAGGATGTAGATGATGAAGAGGATGGGCCCAAGGACTGATCCCTGGGGGACTCCGCTGGTGCCTTTGTGTTGCTGGAAACTTGTATTGCCATTTTAGATGCACTCTGTTCTGGCAATTAGGTTTGATTGAAACCACTTCAGGGCAGTGTCAGAGAGTCCAGTAGTTTTGTTTAGCCGGTTCAGAAGAATTAGAAGATCTAAAGTGTCAAAAGCAAAAGACAGATCGAGAAGTACGAGGATGGAAGGTGAACCTTTATCTGCTGCCATTCGTAGGTCGTTTGTAACTCTAACCAGGGCTGTTTCAGTGCTATGAGCAGAGCGAGATTTCTGGAAGGCATTATAGGGGCTGTGAGATTGCAAGCTGTGAGTTATCAATTTGGGTGGGTAGTGCTGAGGAACCAGAAAAGGAAGAGTTGATTAAGTCTATTTTTATTTTTAAAAAGTCCATGAAATTATTGCAGTGCTCTTCTGTAGTTTCTGTAAGTGAGGGGGTTATTGGTTTGAGAAGATGGTTTATGGACGAGACCAGCTATCTGAGGTTTCCAGAACTGTTTCTAATGACATTTCCATAAAATTGTGACCGTGCCCTTGTGAGTGACTTTGAGTAGTCTTTTTGGTGTTCTCTGAAAGCTGGTTTGTGCACAATAAGACCTGTTACTTTGAATCTCCGCACATTCAGCAGAAGCTATTGAGCTGATTGGGGTAAGCGGCACCTGAAGCCTGCCTATTGATCTTTTTCTTAGGTAGGTAAAAGGGCACAAACTTTGTCATCTAGTGTGCCTCTTGTAGATACTGAGAAAACCAATATGATAGCAGCAGCTATGCGTGCATCCTCCTGTGCTGCCATGTTTATTTTGGTTCGGCTGTGGGCTCAGCCTCTCTTCGTTTGCAATTTCTCTATGTCCTGCGTTAAACCATAATAATGCAAAATGATTGGCCAAATGAAAAAGATGGATTCTCATGTGTTTCTGAATGCACTGTCACCGATGAACGATTCAGCATGTGTGCAAAGTTATAATTTAACCGCTTTGAATTTTATTTGGATGTAAATCACAAGAAATATTGGAAACTTGAAAACCATTCAGCATTTTCCTCCCATTTTACAACTATGGGGTTATTTTGTGTCAATGTAAAATGTTAAATGTTGAATGTAAAAAGAAAAAAAGTTATAGGAAAAGTAATATTTTACGAAGTCAGACTTCTGATGTTGGAAAAAAAAGGTGCGGCGTAAGATAGCTGTATCACTGAGACTTTATATTTTTTGTCTGATTTCTGTAATCTGTTTCTCTGTTTTTCTTCACTTTCCTCCGTACGCCTGTCACAGGAGAGCAGTGCCCCGAGGGCCAACTGCAATAAGATGATAATGATGTTTACAGATGGAGGTGAAGATCGTGCTCAGGAAATCTTTGAGAAGTATAACTGGCCCAACAAAACTGTGAGTATGTTTGTGTTAGCCTGTTTTCTGTCCAGGGATTCTATTCTCCACCTTTTCTGTCTATTTTGTCTTTCTATAAAGCAGACAGTTGTGTTAGTCCGATATGCCAGGCATTCCAATGTGTACAAACCATCCTCTCAAAGATTTCTTCCATTTCTGTCTGTTTCCTTTGATTTTCATAATTGATCTCTTTTGTCATTCTGTCATTCCCTCTCCTCTGAAGGATCTAAAGAATATTCTTCACATGCTTTGTTTCTTCTTTTTTCTCCTTTGTTGCTTAGCTTCTGGTGTTAACAGCTCTGACCTGATGACTAATTAGCCACTGTATCATCAGAGTCTGCGATAGCACAGCCACTGATCTACTAGCTTGAATCTTTTTTGTCTTACTGTCGCCATCCATCCTCTTTACTAATCTGTCAATTTCAATTTAGTTAAGCTGCAGGAGAAATTAGTTTATGAATGAATAAAGTAACAAAGTCCAATATAAATTCACTGGATTACAGTTCAGGTAAATCGAGCACATTTTAAATCAATCTATCTGTTATTCTCTATCATATTGGTTTAAATTCTGATGCAATTTCAGTTTTTCATGCAAATCGGATTCCATCAAAATCCAATCTATTTATGATCTATTAAAGTGTATTCTACCCTGCAATGGATGCATGATATGCAATAAAATATTTTTATAAAGTGTGTTTTGAAGCGTAGGAAGTTTTGCTGTGAAAGTCCTTTATTAGCACTTTTGTCAAGAGTTACCCATTTTTTTTCTCTTCCTTTTTTGTTTTCTTGTCCTGAACCAGGTTCGAGTTTTTACTTTCTCTGTTGGACAGCATAACTATGATGTCACCCCTTTGCAGTGGATAGCGTGTGCTAATAAAGGTAAGCAGCACAAATAAATAATTTTTATAAAAAAGCAAAAGGGGTTATTTATTTATGTATGTATTTATTTATTTACAAAACCTGACAGTTTAAATCATTGTTCATTTATTTAGAGTTGTATAAAACCAAATATATTAATATAACTGCAATATACTACAATAACATGCACAAAAACAACAATGATAACAGCTAAACAACTAACACACCAATAGTTTGACTAGTTTTTCACTCAGGGACCGGATATTTTGCATGCCAAACCCACTGATACTGTGAATCACATTGAGATTGTTATTTTCTATTACTAATTTTATTTAATTCATTTTGGAGAAGTAACTTTTGTGTGACTCCTTTCAGATAAAAACTGAAACTAAATGGGAAAAAGTCTGAACTTGAGAGAGGAGAGATTTTTATAGACGCTACAGGAATTGAAATTATGTAAAGGAAACATTTATTTTAGATGTAAGAGGGGAATTCTGAATAAAGAGAGTAAATAACCTTTTCCTACTTTCCACAACAAAAAAAGTTTGTGGGCTTTCAACGATAATGCACACAAAACACTTGGTTTTGATTGATATATATTTTTTTTATTTTATTTTTCACTTTTAAAGATTAGAAAATTAACAAAAATAAATAATAGGCAGAAACAGCAAATAGAATATATATATATATATATATATATATATATATATATATATATATATATATATATATATATATATATATATATATATATATATATATATATATATATATATATATATACCGTATTTTCACGACTATAAGGCGCACTTAAACGTCTTTTTTTCCCCTCAAAATGTGCGGTGCGCCCTATGTGTGTTGTAACTGCGACTTTTGAGACCACCTCATTGAGGAGATGATGAAAGAGTGGCTGAATGTAAGGAGACCAGCTGTTTTTTTTCCACTCATCACCATTAATCTGTAACTCCATGCGTGCCCATCTCACAGCTGATGTGAAAAACATGGGGAAACAAATTAACCCTGTGCTCGATGTTCAACCGCTCAACATCGGTGTGAACCGGACCCAGCAGGTGCAGCAGAAGCAGCGAGTTTACATGCAAAGTCAATGGTTGACGCGCGTATAGGTGCAGCAAAAGGTCCTGCAGCGCGTTTTGAGCCGCAGGTGCAGCACGTCGGGATCGTTTAAGCATCTGACGCACCGCCAACGCGCTGCTGCTGCTCGAGATGGAAAATTTTAAGTTTTGCTGCTGGACGCGCCGCATCAACCAATCAGAGAAGCTGATCTGGGAGCTGACAGCGAGACAGACACAGCGCTCTGATGAAAGAGGAGATGATGAAAGCGTGGCTGAGGGAGGTGTAGCCTATGTGAGGAGACCAGGTGTTTTTTTCCACGCATCACCATCGCTGCGTGCCCATCTCACAGCCGATGTGAAAAAAAAGGTGAATCAATGAACGCTGTGCTCGCCGTTATCCCGGGGGGTCTGACAAAGGAACTTCAACCGCCCAACATCGGTGTGAAGCGCCCGTTCAAAGTAAGGCTGCGAGCGGTGGGGGAGCGATGGATGACGGAGACCACAGTTTCAGGATAAGTGGAAGGCAGCGCCGGGCAGATTACGCCACAGTTTGCGGATGGATTGTAGATGCTTGGACTAACGTGTCTGCTGGCTCTGTTCTTCAAGCTTTTGCAAAAGCCGGCATTATTTCTGAGGAGCCGCGCTGCACGGAAAGTGACTCTGACAGCGCAGAAGGGGAAACTGGCATGTCTGATTTAGCGCAGCTGTTTAATTCAGAAACAGAGGATGATGACTTTGAGGGGTTTGATTAATACTCTGTAATAAATACATGAATAAAGCACAATCATACTCAGTTTTGCTCCCGCTCTATTTTTCTACCTGAAAACTTAATTCAACAGCAGGCTCTGGGCCGCGGCGCATCCGGACTCACCTCGGCAGGTGTTTTTTCATCTAAATAATCTAAATCTTTTTAAGTGAGAAAGTCCACCTGAAAATTTAATCATTGCAGTCAGCTCATCCAGATTATTATCCTGCCTATGTTTTAAGTTAATTTATGCGTCAATAAACGAAGAAGAAGGGGAAACTGGCATGTCGGATTTAGCGCAGCTGTTTAATTCAGAAACAGAGGATGATGACTTTGATGGGTTTGATTAATACTCTGTAATAAATACTTGAATAAAGCACAATCAGACTCAGTTTTGCTCCCGCTCTATTTTTCTACCTGAAAACTTAATTCAACAGCAGCCTCTGGGCCGCGGCGCATCCGGACTCACCTCGGCAGGTGTTTTTTCATCTAAATCAGTGGTCTCCTACCCTGGTCCTCAAGATCTACTGTCCTACAGATTTTCCCTGCTTCAACACAGCTGAATCAAATGATTGATTACCTTTTCAAGCCATTCATTTGATTCAGCTGTGTTGAAGCAGGGATGCATCTAAAATCTGTAGGACAGTAGATCTTGAGGACCAGGGTTGGAGACCACTGATCTAAATAATCTAAATCTTTTTAAGTGAGAAAGTCCACCTGAAAATTTAATCATTGCAGTCAGCTCATCCAGATTATTATCCTGCCTATGTTTTAAGTTAATTTATGCGTCAATAAACGAAGAAGAAGGGGAAACTGGCATGTCGGATTTAGCGCAGCTGTTTAATTCAGAAACAGAGGATGAGGACTTTGAGGGGTTTGATTAATACTCTGTAATAAATACATGAATAAAGCACAATCATACTCAGTTTTGCTCCCGCTCTATTTTTCTACCTAAAAAACTTAATTCAACAGCAGCCTCTGGGCCGCGGCGCATCCGGACTCACCTCTGCAGGTGTTTTTTCATCTAAATAATCTAAATCTTTTTAAGTGAGAAAGTCCACTTGAAAATTTAATCATTGCAGTCAGTTCATCCAGATTATTATCCTATGTTTTAAGTTAATGTATGCGTCAATAAACGAAGAAGAAGGGGAAACCGGCATGTCGGATTTAGCGCAGCTGTTTAATTCAGAAACAGAGGATGAGGACTTTGAGGGGTTTGATTAATACTTTGTAATAAATACTTGAATAAAGCACAATCATACTCAGTTTTGCTCCCGCTCTATTTTTCTACCTGAAAACTTAATTCAACAGCAGCCTCTGGGCCGCGGCGCATCCGGGCTCACCTCGGCAGGTGTTTTTTCATCTAAATAATCTAAATCTTTTTAAGTGAGAAAGTCCACCTGAAAATTTAATCATTGCAGTCAGTTCATCCAGATTATTATCCTGCCTATGTTTTAAGTTAATTTATGCGTCAATAAATTTTATCAGAGGAGTAATCACAGCCCTGTGTCATCAGCGATGTGTCTCTCATGGCCGGCTCCCAGGTTTGAATAATACTTTGTAATAAATACACCTTGCAGCTTTATTTGCTGTGATCAGTGGGAATAAAGTAGTTTTAATATGTTTTTAAGTGGGAAAATCCACCTGAGAGGACATGTACCTGTATATAAAAAACGCGCCCTATAGTCCGGTGTGCCTTATGTGTGTGTTAAATACAGAAATGGGACACATAACTGAGACTGCGCCTTTTAGTCCGGTGCGCCTTATGGTCGTGAAAATACGGTATATATATATATATATATATATATATATATATATATATATATATATATATATATATATATATATATATATATATATATATATTATTTCTCTTTTTATTTTTCACTTTTTAAGATTAGAAAATTAACAAAAATAAATAATAGGCAGAAACAGCAAAGAGAAAAAAACATCTGTAGAAAAACGAAACAATCAAAAAGCGCATAGGTTTCCTAATCAAGAGAATTAATAATTGCTTGACTTCTTTTTATAAAAATAAATACTTTTGGCAAATTTGGAAAAAATTACCAGTGATGTCAACTTTATACGTCTTTAATGAGTTTATACTAAGTGGTTTAATTGTTTCTCATCAATTAGCTGTATTGTTATTTTTCCTAGAATAGAAAAATCTATTTAGTTAAGCTTTTGCAGTAATATTGCACTTGAAAAAGTATTTGTATTTATTGATATTTTGTTAAACTGCGATGGACTGACGACCTGTCCAAGGTGTATCTCACCTGTTGACGGCTGGAGAGGCACCAGCACCCCTCGCGACATGTTCACCTTGCTCAGTGATGTTTACACGTTAAATGTCCTATAAGACACAGCCGTGACGAAGAACAGAGATACAATTAAATGAAAAATTATATGAAACTATGAGATAAAACTCCTCCATTTGTCTAGTCTTCACTTGCCTTGTCTATTTTAAACTTGAGAAAAAATTACTGCAGAACTTCATGGGATGCTATAATCTGTTGGATCAGCCTTGAGCTCTGAAATAACCCAGCCGACAGCCAGCTTGGTCTATGACTAACAGTCTGACAGTTGACTCAGCTCCACTTCCTTGGTTGCATTATTGCATATGTCTGATCTACGTTTCACCCATGTGGGTCTGCTCTGCAGTAACTTTTACACTTTATTCTGAACACTTTTCCTCACAGTTTTCTTGTCTCTTATAATTAAGTTCAAGACTGTGTTTTTGTGTTGCAAATTATCTGAAGTCCTTTTCTTTATAAGAGCTTCTCTGTAGCTGTTAGCTTATTGCCAGTGGAGCCTAATGCTGTTGAAACACCTCCCTAGCAGTCATTAATTAGCAGGTGGCTGGTAGCAGTGATTACCATATCATCTCCCTGTCTGTGTTTTTAGGCTCTTATTAAAAACTCACCACAGAATAGAGAGTTTTGCTTGAATAAATGTGTGAGGCATTGTGGGTAAGCACATATGAAGAATTTGTTCCTCAGTTTTCTTCCATAAAAGGGTTGCTTTAGCTCAGCCAGCTGACTGAGGAAGCTCATTTAGGCTACTTGTGTCAGTAATCATAATTGCTGTCATAATCCACACATTCCATAAATATAGGTGAGCGTCAAAACCCAGACAGGTAGAGTACAGACAAAAAGTTTGGACACACCTTCTCATTCAAATAGTTTTCTTTATTTTCATGACTA